CAAAACAAACCCGATTTGCCCCCTCCGCCCCACAGATTGGGAGGGCCGCTTTCCCCCCCAACATCCCCCCGGCCAAGGGGCTTGGGGTTAGGGTTAGGGTGGCTGGGGAATGGCATGGCTGGCTGGGGAATTCTGGGAGTTGAAGTCCACTCATCTTAAAGTGGCCAAGGTTGAGAAACACTGGTCTTTGGGCACCGCAACCCAAGACTTCAAGAAGGCTGTTGTCCTAGCTGCAAGCATGTGAATTTGAAATGGCAAAATGCAACTTGCTTCCACCTCCCTCCTTGCCTTCTCCTGCTTCTCTATCCTCTGGTATTTTGGGAACCATCATCCTGTGTAATACATCCTAACACTTCACATGGGATGAAATGCTAAGAGGCTACAACGTGAGCAGACAATCTTTGCTCGACCCTGCCTTACAAAAAAGGTAAGAAGCCTTACATCTTCTCTGCTCCCCAGAGGCGCTCAAGGTAAGACAAGTTCTGCTGCATTGATACTTCAGTCCTTGGGGCTGAAAAGAGGACGTACCTTTCTGAAGATGAATTATGTCTGGGAAGTTGGAAAGGAGTCCTTGGTACAAGGAAAGAGTATCCAACAAGAGAAACAGGTCATTCTTGGGTTGCTCAGCAAACATTTCCCCCACTGTCTCATAGGTCTTGCCCGTGTGGGAGATGGCATTGTTGAGGGCATCAAAACTATAGGGTGGGTCCATCTGGAAGGCTTGGCTGATGGCTTGGAAGGCATTGCCCAGCTTTTGGAACTCTTTGCGAAAACCTCCCACGTGCTTCCTGGCCAGCTCAGAAGCTACACTGGTCAACTGCAGTACGCTGTCGTCCATCTTCTTGCTGAAGGCCTTGAAGGTGTCCACTCGGTCTTCCACGTCCTGCAGGTCTTGGTGTTCTGTTGGGATCTGGAGGGTCAGTAGAAAACTAGCACCCACCATCTCATCCTTCTCTGCCCGACGTTTCCCCATCTTCCATTGCTTGTTGTCGCCACAAGTGAGGAAGTGTTGGAAGCCCTCATACTGGGAAAGCGCCGGGTGGCTGGTCATGTGGTCCATCCACAAGATCAGCCTCCGCTTGCGCTTCTCTATGAAATCCTCCCCAAAGCGCCCCGTGGCTTGCTTCTCTGGCAGGTGGGGTACCGAGATGATGGTGAACTTGTGCAACAGGCGGTTGTACAGCCAGTCAAAGTGTTTGTACCGCCGGTAAACAGGTGAATTTCCATTGCTGGGTGTCAACCGGTAGGAGATGTAGCTCTTGATGCCTTTGAACTTGGTTTGTTTGGTGGGCTCTTCCACAGAACAGACCAAAGGGTGTGGGTTGGACCTCCACTGGGGACCTTTAGAGCCCATGTCTATGTAATAGGCCTCTGCAATCTTGGCCATCATGGGGACATCTCCCAAAATGAAGGCCTCAACCCCAGACCGGACAAAGCTGGAGAAGCGGTTGAGATTCCGTCCCACCACGCTTCCTCTCTTGGAGGACCCAATGCTGTCCTGCCTCTCCAAAGACGGCTTTGCTCGATAGCCAACGTTGTTGGGATGAGCACAGGGCCTGGGGCACGACAGGCTCGGTGACGGATGCCCATTAGTCCCTGCCCCACTCCGGGGTTCCTCCACCACCGTACACTCATCGTCCCAGTCATCCCAGTCATCCTCTTCATCTTCAAAGCTGCCCTGGTGGGAGATGCTTGTGCTGGAAGAGGGCACATAGAAGGAGGAGCCATTTCCAGGAGACCCAGCGGGGCTGTTAGAATAGTTTGTAAATGTTGAGGAGGATCTGGAGCGAAGGATCTGCACGTAGGAGGCAGGGAACAGTCCCGTCTCCCCTCGGGAGTTGGTTCCCTGCAGCCAGCCGTCCAACGACTTTTCGCTGAACAGGACCAGCTCCTCGTTCTCTCGAATACTGATCTCTTCCTTGTTTTCGCTCTGGAAATCGTAAAGTGCTCTAGCGGGGATTGCCATGGGGGTGTCTGGTCAGGCAGCCCGGTCTCTGCCACCAACCCCTGGGTTCTGTTCAAAAGGGACCTTCCCGGGAAAGCTGCAAAAGCTTGTGGCAGAATCTGCGACTGCTCGATGCAAAGGGAACAGGAGGGCTTTCTCCAGCCTTCCCTGAAAAGGGCAAAACCACCTAGTGGTTTTGTAGATGGAGGTTTCAGGCTGGCCGCTGCTTTCACAGTCAGCAGAGGGAGGTTACGAATGATTGGCTCGGGGCGAAGCAAAGAACATCGTCCTCCGGGTCGCAGACCTCAGCCAGGGATGAGGAAGACCGGAAAACCGTCACCACCCCTGTATCCATATCACGCGGCACATGGGTTATCCCTAAATCCCGGGTCTCGTTTTTTAATACCGAAATTATAGGTCAGAATGCGCCATCTTGATCTGATGAGAGGCAGCTAAGGCATTTGGTCTATAGGCTCTAAGCTTGTTGGGCCTAGATAAGGAAACTCGGGGCTCTTCCTGCACTGTGAAGAGAAATCCAGGGCAATTCAGAATTTCTAATGCTTCCCACCGAGGTCTCTCTGGAAGGAAAGAAAGGTTTTAACCAGGAAGAAAAGTCTCTGTCGTTACGAACCAGAAATGTTTTGCAAGTCTGAATAATACTCCCTTTTGGATTGGATTCTAAATCCACCAAGCTCCCAAGGGGTGGAGGAAAAATTTAAAAAGCTGCAAATCAATCCTCAATTGAATGGGTCACGCCTTAGTCCACACAACAAAGTCCACGTGAATTCTGTTTCTTTCTCTCCACCCCCCTTTTTTTTTTGTCCACACCAGAAAAAAAGGGGGGGGGAGAGAAACAGCCCTCGCCCCCCAAAAAAGTTTTACCTCTTTCCAGGATCTGAAACCTTTGGGGCAGGAAGAAGACCCCAAAAGCAACAAGAGAGTTCCCTCTCCCAACCCCCAAAACAGCTCTCTGCAAACTCAAATTCAGATCCACCAGCAGAGTGTAAAATCCCTCCGGGAGCCCAGAACTCTCTTCTGTTGTTCAGTCTCTCCCTAGTCGACTTCCAGCTGCTCAGAAACCAGGACAACGTAAAGCAGATCACCAGCAGGGTAGATTAAAAAAAGAAGAATATCGCTCCCCGGGAAACTGGCTTTCCGTGCGCCCGCTTCGGTTTACGGCAAAGCCACTGGCAATCCGATTGCGCGATGAGGAGGAGGAGGAGGAGGAGGATGAAGATGATGCAAGATCAGGATTGGCAGAATGGCTATTCACTCCAGAGCTTGGAGAAGTCGGTAAGAACGAAGTTTCCCCGGAGTTGCAGGGAGCCAAAAGGGGCGGCGGAGCCCCCGTTGGGGCAGCCGCGCAGGGCCGAGCCGTGGCCGGGCGAGGAATCCAGCCGGTTCCACCGGAGGCGCTTCCGGGAGGGCGAGGGACAGCGCCAGGGACGAAGGACGGGGCGCGGGCAGC